GCTCATCAGATCCAAGCTCCAGCGCAACCACATCCATCCAGTGGGATCACGAGCCTGACTTGAACCACCCGGCTTTTTAGTCATTTTATTAGCTGGGCTGTGCATGTCCAGACTAAAGACAACAAACGAATCGGAGGTAGGCCACTCAGCCGGCCCGGGACTGTCACTGGTCTGCCTCCAGCATAAGATGCAATGGGTATTGCTTCAGCATCAAGCCAGAGACTTAACATCAATCTCACCGCTCCATTCACGCCCCACTCTGCTCCCAGTAACATCTCTGTACCTCATCTACTTCCCTCACACTTGCCTTGCGAGAAATGGCAAGACGTAAAACTCCACCACATGATTAACACCCCCACTTTGCACAAGCAAAGAGAAATAAAAACAACCCTCCCAAAACCTCTCAGATAACCTGAGAGCCAGGAATTGAACCCACAAGCCTTCACTTATCCCCAGCTCGCTATAGGACCGCCGTGAAACCAGAAAACACCTACCACTACATACATAATTATAAGTTTAGAGGTACCAAACGTGAGTGATGTCTGAGCTGCTCCAAGCCCTATCAGTGGCTAGGTTCTCTCATCAGACTTTGGGATGCTGCCTTGAAAACGTCTCTGCCTCATCCAGCACCTAACAATCTTTTTAACCTTTTTGTACTAGACCATACGTGTCTCCCTAGGCAAAGAGTCCTAGCACATGTAGGAACCGTCCAGCAATAATTCAACAGCTGTAGAAACCCAGAGCACAAGAATAGTTCAACACATCAAGCTGCAAATACACTGCCTAAGCTCAAACTCTCTCAAAGAAAAGCCTTAAGGTATAAAGGAATCAAACCTATAAACTCAATTCTAATCAAAAGAATTAAATCCATAAGTTAAATTATGAAGGTAAGCGTGAAGGTCTGCTGGACTTCAATCGCTCGGCCTCCACACTACAGGCAAGGCTGCTGATGCCAAGAGGAAGATAAAAGCAGGAATGTGTGGGGCAGGCACCTCGCTAGTCCTCAGCCATCACCGGATGCCCAGGAAGCAGCACCAACCCAACCAAAATTCACATGGCAATTTCAAACCAGTCAAGACTCTTGCCGAATTTCTCTGCTAAGTGGAGAAGCAAAGCAGCCATGCATCGCTCAGCAGCTGCCTCGTAAAGCTGCCAAAGGCACGGGAAGGAGCAAATCAAGTCCTTTGGGATCCCCCGAGACGATGGTACAACAGAGGTTAGATTACCAGCAACCACCTACCCATACGACGTCAGCATTTAGCACCTGATGTCCCAGCAGCGAAGGGAAAGGCCCGAGTGCGGTAGAGAAAAGATGACTAGAACTGGCGAACTTACATGGTTGCATCGCATCTTAGAGAACCTCTCCAGGAAGAAGACACACAGCCAAGTTCTCGCCGTCACCACGTCAACAGAAAATATACCCAGCAAGAGATCTCAACTGCACAAAGTCCTCCTAGCAGAAAGATGTATTTAATTCAGCTCTGCAGAGAGGCTGGGCAAAGCAGCAGCATACACAGTAGAAACAATTTGTATCCTCCTCCCTGGGGAGGAGAAAGGCAGCCTAAGGAGTCCTTCCAGAATTCCAAGCGAGTGGATCCCAGTGTCACTTGCCAGTCCATTTTCCAGTCCAAATGGCTCATCTACCAGAGTATAATTCCTCTCCACTGCAGAAAGCAAGAAAGAAATTTAGAAGCTATTTCATAATTATGGTGGGGAAGCATTTTTAATTCACTAAGGCCTGAGTGTCCGTACTCCCACTAGCAGGGCGAGAAGAAGGATTTGTGGCATTTATGAAGCGAGGAAGAGTAGTCTTAGATGTGCGCACACACACATATACACACAGGAAAAGGCATGCAAGGCATTCTCTTTTGCTTTTAGTCATTTTAAGAACCAAATCAAGACACATTTTTACAGCAGGTACCGCAGTTTGCAAAGAAAAAGAGCCACAAGGCACAGTCACCAAGTTTTATTAAAGCAGACACTAGTTTTACACCTCTCAGCTAAGACTGAAAAGTGCACGGATCCAAGCTGGAAAATAACATAAGTCACTTCAATGCAGACAACTCACAACTCTTATAAACCAGGGTTTTATCTGTGCTAGGCTTGGCTAGCATCCATCAGGAACAGCTTGATAATTTGATCCACTTTTGGACAAGGGAATGAACTACTTGCTCTCCCAAAGTCACCTCCAGATCCATATTCCTTTTTTTTTTCCCTACTTCCTCTCTACTTCTTTATTTGACAGTTGTACTTTGAGCAAAGCCAGGAGCACAACCATATTTCTGCTTTATCTACATATTTACACCCCTATGCAGTTAAAGATCAAAAATCTCCTCAGTATGGGAACATTACCCTCAATCAAAGAACTAGGATTCAGAATACGTTCCCAAAAGACAAGGGCTTTTGGTAGCTGTCAGTCAGGTTCCCGGGGGGGCAGAAGATTTTGATCCATTTTGTATATTCTTGTCCTGGTTTCAGCTGGGATAGAGTTAATTTTCTTCCTAGTAGCTGGTACAGTGCTGTGTTTTGGATTGGGGATGAGAATAATGTTGATAACACACTGATGCTTTAGCTGCGGCTGAGTAGCGCTTACACTAAGTCAAGGATTTTTCAGCTTCTCAGGCTGCTCTGCCAGCAAGGAGACTGGGAGTGCACAAGAAGGTGGGAGAGGACACAGCCAGGACAGCTGACCCCAACTGGGATCCCCAAAGGGATATTCCATAGCGTATGACAACTGCTTAGTGCATAAACAAGGGGCAAAGCTGGCCCGGGGTCTATTGCTCGGGAATAGGCTTGGCATCGGTCGGTTGGTGGTGAGCAACTGTTTTTCATTGGCATCACTTGTTTTTCTTTGGGTTTATTTCTCTCTTTTTGTTATTTTCCTTTTCGTTACGATTTACTGTTTTATTTTATTCCAATTATTAAACTGTTCTTATCTCACCTCACGAGTTTTCTTACTTTTACCCTTCTGATTCTCTCCTCCCATCCCACCGGGGCTGAGGGAGCGAACGAGCAGCTGTGTGGTGCTTAGCTGCCGGTTGGCATTAAACCACGACAATTCTTAAACCTATGAAAAGTTTCAGTTGGTTAGGTACACGTTTTTACTGACAGCTTCTAAAAAGAAGAAATGTTTGCCAAGGCAAGCGAGCTTGGATGGGTGCTAGGAGCCTTCCCAAGGCAGTAGCTTCAGTGCTGTGACCTCCTCGATGATGCACACAGCTGAGCAAACTACAGTAAAGCCTCTGCTCTGCACAAACCCAGATGTAAACACGGAGCTACACGGAGAACAAGGATCTGGTTTATCCTTGGGTCTGTTCCTGGATCACCCAAACAGCTTATGTCCCTGTAACCAGCAGTGTCTCAATTTCCTCATACGTAAAATGCTGCTGCAACCCCAAATTGCTCTGTATGTCCAGAGCCTACAGCAGAGCTGCTCATATCAGGCCCTCAGCAAGCACAGTAAGGCCTTTAAAAAGGACACTTACAGCACAAAGATTTATTCAATGACTCGTACTGGACATGCTACACTGGAGAAAGGTCCCCATCAAGCAGTTTGTGAGGTCAGAGTCCTAAATTCACCCCAGAATAGGCAGCAGACAGTTCTTGGGAGGCTGAAGGGCTGCGTTCCCCACCCCACATATCACCATCACAGCTGGATCTGGCCACGTGCTATATCCACCACCTCTGGTTTCAGAGATCACAGAAGAGCAATCACAGTGCAAGTATGACCGAGACCTCCAGCCCTATGTGCTGCCTTCACACTCTGTGTGAAAACTTCACAGTGCAAGTATGACCGAGACCTCCAACCCTACGTGTTGCCTTCACACTCTGCATGAAAATTCCCAACACAGCATCTGGAGGTGCAGCCTTCACGCCTCTCCAGACACCAAAGGGTTTGCTGACATCCTGAAACGGAGCAAGACTCAGTCCCAAAGCCAGGTAACTGCTTGAATACTGGGCCCTCAACACAACTGCACAAAAGCATGTCTTATTCTCCCTGCCCCTGCCACTCCCACGAGTCACTGCCTGCCTCCTAAAGCGCCAGAACCAAAATTCTTCTCCCAGCATCCCTCCATCCCTCTAAAGCCCTCTTCAAACACATACACAAGAAGAAAAACCATCATCTTCTCCTCCCAGAAAAAAAAAAAACAACTTTCCCCCTTCCTGAACCACAAGCCCCCATTCTTGTCTCTTCATCTGTCAAAACAGAGCAACAGCTCAACGCAGCTATTTCCCTGAAAGGAAAATAACCATAATCACACCTGTAAACTCGCTAGTCAAAGCGCAGAGCAGGAAACCACAGAATTGTCTTCCTGAAAACAGAGGCTCAACAGCTTTCCTTTCGCAGACACATCACAGCCACGTTGTCGCCCAAACAGCCCTCCCCACTCAAGCAACGCCTACCCGCAGCATCACCGGCCACCCTGCCGTACGTGAACGAGCACAGCGCAGGCACGCAAGCAAAACGTGCTTCGTATATGTTTGAGAAAGCTGAATCTCAGGGGAGCAAAGCCACTTGTCCGTGACCACATCATCACTGAATTGGAGAGCCAGGCTTTGAGGCAGAAACATCACACCACCATTTCACGCACGCATAGGTACGGCTCTCCAAGCCCCAAGAAGCTGATTCCTGCTCTGACAAGCGCTGACCCAAAGCAGCAGGACATGGAGACAAACTACCTGTTCACAAACACGATGGACCTGGTACTTCTCTAATTATCGCTATTTTAAGCAAATTACAAACAAAACCTAGACACCTGCAGACATGGTACTGAGATCCAGGTGCATTAGGTAGGTCTGTAGTTGCTAGAGGAGCATCTCATGATATACGCAAGCTTTTGCCCACTGCAAAAAGAGAGATTAATCTTACAGATGTATTACTGCCTCTGCCATCCTCTTCCTTCCTTGAGCACCTTCCTATCTGAGGCCTGCAAGTCCAGCAAAACCACATTAAAAGCAAGAAGTGGATTTCAAATGGCCTTGTCTGGAGATGTTCCTACCTTCCTTGGTGGAGACCTGCATCCTGGTGGCCGGCAGCCTACAGAGTCTGTGCTTGGAGATCTGCACCAGGCCCTTGGGCGAGGAGCGTTTCAGCGTCGCAGGAGGTTTCCCCCGCAAGGAGTTTTTCTTCCTGAGATGGAAGTGGCTTTTCAGAGGCGTGGTGGGCGAGGAGCCGTTCTTCTTATCTGTTGGGGAACTGTGAAGGGGAACATCACACAGTTAGAAGAGCGCAGAGAGGTGACCAAAACACACTTGGTGCCCTTGCCCAGAGCTGAGAAGAAAAGCTGGGTCACCAAGCTCCACGCTGCTCCCCTACCCAAGGGTGATAAGAAGTGCTGAACAAAAAAATTGCAAGTAAATAGGCAAGTGTGATGAATTTCTGGCAAAGCACAGATGGAGAAAGAGGTATTTGATAGCCTAGCTCAACTCATTCCCTTCTGCTTTCTGCTCAACAGATGCAGGGGAGAGGACAGAATCAAAGAATCATAGAATTGTTTAGGTTGGAAGAGACCTTTAAGATCATCGAGTCAAATTGCTAACCTAGCCCTGCCAAGTCCACCACTAAACCACAGCCCTAAGCACCAAGTCTACACATCTTTTAAATACATCGGGGATGGGGACTCCACCACCTCCCTGGGCAGCCTCTTCCAATGCCTGACAACTCTTTCGGTGAAGAAATTGTTCCTCATGTCCGGTCTCAACCTCCCCTGGTGCAACTTGGGGCCATTTCCTCTCGTCCTATCGCTTGTTACTTGGGAGAAGAGACCGACCCCCACTTTGCTACTCCCTCCTCTCAGGTCGTTGTAGAGGGCGATCAGGTCTCCCCTCAGCCTCCTCTTCTCCAGACCAAACCCCCCCAGCTCCCTCAGCCGCTCCCCACCAGACTTGTGCTCCAGACCCTTCACCACCTTCGTTGCCCTTCTCTGGACTCACTCCAGCACCTCAAGGTCTTTCTGGTAGTGAGGGGCCCAGAACCGAACACAGGATTCGAGGTGCAGCCTCACCAGTGCTGAGCACACGAGGACAATCGCTTCCCTGTTCCTGCTGGCCTTTAGTGAGATGAGGGGGGTCTCGCCTCCCTGACTGCCAAAAAAATCCAAAACAACTCCAGCTTCTTCAGGCACCTTGCTCCAGAGTGATCCCCCCAGCACAATCCACCCACAGACATTCCCCAGCAAACCAGGAGGGCCAGGCAAGGATGGAAACCTGCGGTGAGGCACTGAGCAGAGGATCTGAGAAACAGAAGCAGGAATCAAGGCACCAGATTCTCAATCAGTGCCATGTCACCAGCTCACTGCATCACTTAGAACAGTTATTTAGGCCACAGTCCTCAATTTTCAAGAGCTCAGGTTTGGAGTTACTGCAGCGATAAAAGAGCAAAACCACGTGTCCACTTCGTTGAGGGTATCTCCAAGTTCAGCAGCAGAGTAGAGGCCACGCAGCTGTGCCACCAACCCTCACCCCATCGCACTTAGCCCTTCCCTGCAGCACAGGCTAGGCTTGCATCCAGCCCTGCCGAGAAAAGCAGCACAAAACACAGCTTTCCCACCGGGAGCACAACGTAACGAAGCCCTCGCAGCACTTCCGCAACACGCCAGCTTTCAGAATAAGTTTGGTCCCAATCTCTTATCTGTTTCCCCTCGACTTCCAGCCTGGTGCAAACCCCTTTTGCAGATCACTCTGCCCACATGACTTTTCCTTCTGCCAAGCTTCATTTATAACCTTCCCATTGTACTCTGCCCCTATCAGACACAGCCCGGGGGGCAGGGGGCACAATTCACCCCACGAGACCCCAGGAGTACCTGCTGGTCCGGCCCAGCGCGCTCTCCTGAGGTAGCTACAACGGTCACAGATCTGTCACCGATTCAACAAGGAGAAGGAAGAGCACGAGTCTTCAGGGACAACACTTTGGGTTACCGGTGGTCAGGACAAAAGGACGGCACTCAAAGGAAGAAAGTATCAGCAGACCATCATGGACAGCACTTCTTCCCAGCAGGCACAGCTCATCTCCCATCCCAGCTCCATCCCAGGGTCTGCACAAGGCTTGACGGGGACAGACCATACACGATACGGCAATCCAAGCCGCTTCTCTTCCTTTCCTCAGCCCCCAATGCAACAAGGTTACAGGAGTTTGAAAATAAATCAAGACAGCTATTTTCTTCCCTTCGGATATTAGTCTGCTATTCGGATCAGGGAGGAGTCTCCTAACTGCTGCGGCAAAGTCTTCAGAGAACAGGGATGGGAGATGAGAAGAAAACCCAGTTCTGTTTGAAAGGTTAAAGCCAGAGTTACGCAGACTGCTAAAACAATTAAAACTTGAGGCCTTCCAACCCTGGAAAGCTGTATGCCTCCAGACAGAACAAAGTCACCGCACTTGGAAGGAGAAAGGCAAATATAACTTCCAGTGTACAACCACCCTTGTTGGAATTTCACCCGTACATATGGTCCCAACTTATGTCGACATGAAATACGGCCAGTGCAACAACACCGCCCCAAAGACAACCAGCAACTTACCCCGAGCTTCCTTTTCTCTTGATGATTTTTGTCCGACTCTTCACTTTATAACTGGACAGTGCGGCATCACCGAAGGAGGACTTCGCCCCGCCGAGACCAACAGACGCAGCGCTCGGAGGCGGTGGGGCCGCACCAGCTCGAGGGAGGTTGGGGGCTGGAGGCTTTTTCTGATCCTCGGATCGCCACCTGAACGCAGACTTGGAGGTGGACGGCGAGGTCTGCAGGCTGGAGGCTTTCCACTTATATTTGCTGGGAGAAACACCCAGTTTGGACTGCAGTCCCGACTTCTTCGGCTTTGCTCCCAAGTCTGCTTTCGGCGATAGTTTAGCACCTCTGTCCGCTCCACCAGCAATCTTCTTAGCACTTTCAGAAGCTCTAGGGCTGATCCATCTCTTCATACTACGAGAGCACTTACTAGGGTTTGCGACCCACGTGTAATTAGTTTTCCTGAATTTCAGACCTTTGCTGGAGACAGATGTTGAGGCAGCTCTTTGGAGACCGGCAGCTTTGGGGACTAAGGAAAACCTGCTCTTCATTGGAGTCATCCCAACCACCAAAGTCGCAGCCTGAGCGGGTCTATAGCGCGTCTCGCCATTTCCAAGGAGCTTCGGCTCTCTGAAAGCACCCCTGACTTGCTCACAACTAGACTGCCCTGGAGCTGGCGGTTCTGCCTTCCTCCGTACCAAGTGCCCAGCCGGCTCGCGATCTGGCAACACCAAAGGTTGCTGCGGCTCCGATTTCAGCGTCACGGCGCTTTCACTGGTGCTTCCGTAGGAGGCAGGGGAGCTCCCGGCCACGTCGCCGGCCAGACGCACCATTCTAGGCTTATCTGACACGCTCACGAACGCTGAACTCACAAATCGGTGAGATGAACTAAATGAAACAGAGAGAGAGGGTCTTCTCTCTTCATTTCGGTTTGCATACAGAGATTTCTGCACATTTTCACTGTCACCTGGAGCAGCAACCACCGTTTCCAGCCCAGAAAACTCACAGTAAGAACCCACATCAGCAAAATCTTCCGTGTCTACGAATGGGCCAGCCCTCTGTGGCAGTTGGATCCCCACAACTATGTTACCATCTGTGGTTAAGTCCACATGTCTCTCAGGGGATGATTCTGGTGGCTCAGGTGCCTGGCTGTCCCCATGGCTTCCAAAAGCTCGAGACGTGCTGGCATTTTCACCGCTTCCAACATCACACACCGATCCCGGCGGCCGGTTAACAAGGGAATATTTTTTCTTCCAGGAGTGACCTTGGTGCAGCTGGAAATCCCTGGGAGCCTGCTGGGGGTAGCCAGTCGAAAAGGCCCCCCTCCGGCTTGGAAGGCTGGCGGGGGTTGTTCCACCTCGGTGGCACGGATGGTAGCGGTCGCGGCACATCGCCATGCAAGTTTTTATGGTCATTTATGAGACCTAAGGAGAAGAAGACAGCGTCTGTTTATCACTGGTCCCATGGGAGTTTGACAGCATCACAGCGCTGGCATTCCTCACGCTGCAATGAGGATGATCGCTCCGCGCAGGCTCGCACAGGCCACATTTCAGACAACCAGCGCTGAAAGGAAAAACTTAAAACAAATATCTTCCTCAATCCTCATGAAAGTCAGTAATAAAAACGATTTTGCAGGACAGCTCAATGCAGGTCTGAACCACAGACTCACCAACAGACCCTTAACACCCTGCACTAGTGCTCTCAGCCACATTTTGCCCCTTTACGGTCTTTTTTATGTGCCAAAATGGATGCTTGAATTATTGCTTTTGGAGCCTACTTTTTAAAAAATGCCAATTTTATTTCCAGATATCTTGTCAGAGCAGTCTCTGAGGGTCTGCTCACACACGTAGCCCAGCACCGCCACTGCCAGCCCAAAACACAAGGCATAGAATCAGAGAATCATTTAGGTTAAAAAAGACCTTTGAGATCATCGAGTCCAACCATTCACCTAAGTGCCACATCTCCACGCCTTTTAAATACCTCCAGGGATGGGGACTCCACCACTTCCCTGG